TTTCCCCGGCACATCGCGACACGCTGCCTACCCTTCTGCCGCGTTATAGTTTATCAAACGCGTACAAGGTACACCTCGCATAAAAGAAAAAGAAAAAAAAACGTAATATAATACAAAAAACGACACTGCACGCGGGTATTCACACTCTAAACGAGAGGAGTAGGCGTGAATTGTGTATAATATAATAATATACAAGAGAGTGGTGTGTGCGGCACAAACGAACGGGGTCGCGTCGAGGGCACGTTGCGAGCTCGAGTATCGTGGCTTTTCTCCTCTCGTGCCTCTGCATTTATACGTGTACGACACACAAGTGTATTATTATCGTCATCATAAATATAATACACTGGCGCTTTTTTTATTATTATTTTTATTCCGGCGAATAATTTTACAAACGCTGTGCTGGTGCTGCCGTTGCATAAAGTAAAAAATACCTTTGCTCGCATTCCGCCGTGAGCGCGGTGGCGGTTAATAAACAAAACGTGTCGTTGTGCGCGTACGGGTGGCTAAGTAATATAAAAAAATGTACGCGCACATACATTTTACCGAAACAACGGGAAACGATTAGCGACTGCTGTTGTTACACTTCGAAACGAATTACACACGCATCGCGTAAATCGCTTGCTCTCGTCGCTATTATTACAACGCGCATTTTACACGTAAACTAATGCGGAATTCGTGTTGACGGGAAGCCAGACGGGAAATGTTATTTAATTCGGAACAACGATAATTATTATGATCGCAAAGTACATTTTTAACCGGTGCACTTAAACATTCGTAAACCGTTTACCGCTGTCCGAATTTCGAAACGTTAGTCGGCCGTAGGGATTACGCCACTCGGAACGAATTTGGCTTTTAATTAATTCGTAACCATATTTTTGTCGCCTGCCGGTAGCCGTGCCATTACGTATCTCAGACGTGTCTATCGTACTACGGTTACCGGGGCGAAAATATTGTGCACTTGAGCGATTTCCTTCGGACCCGTCGTCCACTTGGCTCACACGGATCGTCGTCCACGAAAATAGACTCGGCTAATGATAATAATCGATTTCAGTGTTTAAAATCCGTGCGTGACAGCCGTCGTATAGCTGTCCGGTTAAAACAAACCGCGCGCGCGGTAGGCCGCCAGGCTGCTCGTGTGTATATATACGTAAAAATACATTTTTTTTTTGTTATTTTTCCGGTGTACGCGCGCGTTTAGATTTCGACGGGCGGGACGGCGAAGACGAGGTAGAGAAAAAATACAACATTTTCGAAAAAACTCCCACGATATCTTTTATGAATGGAAACGACGGTCGGTGTGGTTGTGCACTACACACAACAATTATTACACGATTTACCTATTTAATGTCGGGAAAAAAAAAACTCGGTCGTAGGAGAACGAATATTGAGAGGGGTGTGGGGGGGGTGATTCCTCGTAGAACGCGGCGCTGGCGTTCTAGGAGACTTCTGCGTTCGTGAATGAAAACCGTCTAGTCATGAACGACATCACGTTAAGCTGATTTTCTTTTATCTCGGGGGTTTTTTTTTTTACAAATCAATACCATATTTATACACACACACGAAAGCAATATCTATTGTTTGGTACTGTTTGCCATCGAAATTTGTCGTTTTGTGTGTTGCCCAAAACGGAAACACCGGAAACACGGGCAAATAACCCTATCGCATCCGATCTTCGGTCTACATCGTATCGTCACAGCGATATTTTACACTAAAAATAAAACGCATCGTCACAGGTTGCGTTATTATTGAAAATAGCGTTTATTATTACAGGTGCGGTACAGCGCACCTTTAATAATAAAAGATATTTTTTAATAGAACAATAACGCTGCTACGAATAAGAAATCGCGGCAAAAAAGTCAATGCGGTGGTTAGCAGCTAGCGTTGTTCTAGGGGGGCGCGCATATAAAAGCAAAGCAAACCAAAATTTTGAATTCGATCGCCAGAATAACGCTGCGGCGTGTCCGGCATAGAATCCAAAATGTCCGCCGCCATCGTGTGTGTTGACGGCAACACCGTGAACGACACGGTTTTTTGTCATCTCGCGAGACGAGCTCGTCGGGTGCGTATTACCATAAAAATTCGTTATTAAAACAAAGACAATGACGGCGGCGAGCAACAGTCGTCGAATTTCGCGTTATGAAATTGCGACGTCGGTCGTCGTATTATTAAAGTTTCAAACGATTCCACGGCCGGCACAATCGTATGTTTTGTATCATCTATACCCCACCACCACACACACACACACACCACTACTATTGTTGTCTCCTCGACCGAATTTGATTGATTTATGAATATTATTATAATTCCGCAAATTCCCCATCCGAGTCTGGCCGACATGTAAATTTATGTCACCGGCAGCGGCAACGGCAGCAACAGCAGCAGCAGCGTCTCCGTCGCACACACAACAATTGAATTGCGTTTTTTTTTTTTTTTTTTT